GCGCAGCCTGCTCTGATTCTTCAGAATGTTGTGCCCGTAGAAGCATATCCTGATGTCTGTCCAGGAAATCTTCAGTTTCTCTTATGCAACACAGATACTTGTTTCTCCAGACCTTGAACCTTCTCTTCCAGTATGGAGACCAGCTTGCACTTTGTACAGACAAAGTCGCTTCTGTCCTGTAGAAGAAAGACAAACATGGCACATCCTGTGCAGGTCACAACAGCTGATCACTCACCATCCATATTACCTTCCTTCTAAGGGCTTCCACAGCTGTTGCAGTAACTACTCAGAGAAGCCTGCAAGATGAATGCCTCAGTGGGCTCTCCCCAGGCAAACTCCCTCTGTTAGCCTCTCCACTGTTCGCCGCTCAGCTGGTTCACAGCTGACTGCCTTTTTCTAACAGTCAGGCCCACTCAGGGCCCACCTGGAACAAAGCACTCCCAATTCACACTTTTCAAACAATCAAGCACACGGTCAAACTGACAAACTGTCCCTGCAACAGACACTCAGATACTCACCAACACAGCCCCCCTAATGCAGCACTTAGCGTACCTCCTCTCGGACAGATCCCAGTCAAACTCCCGCTGTTCGCCGCTCCGCTGTTTGCAGTAGTAAAGGAGGCACTGGTAATTAAATTCAGTGACTATAAATCAGAATCTTGTCAAAAGGATTCTAATGACTCAGGTGATATCAGGTTAATGCTTAATTCCAAATATGTACAATGATACTGTTTTCCCCTCACACACCAAGAAAAAAAAGTACAGATGCACCAACTCAGATACCTCAAAACATGGGAAAACACTTTGAGCCTAATACTCAAACAACTCCCGCTGAAGTGAATGAAGTCAATCGAGTGGTGTATCTTGTACCACCTTTACTATTCCTTCTTACAGCTCCTTATTAGCTTCCCTTTTCTATGATCTGTTCAGGATTCTGAGAAGCTCCTGTTAAAGGGAAGTGAATAACAGATTCACAAAAGCACCTTATACATATGTCATGATATGAAAGAACTGTCATCACACCTTTTCCCAGTCATATTTCCACCTGGTCAAAAAGTCTTTGGCTTTGTGCCTCTGCACTGTGTTGTAGGGTCAGAAACTCCCAAGCTTCACGCCAGTTTGGTATCTTTCTTCTCCTATGGGAGATTTTTCTTCCACAGTCTTTACTTGATGTTAAAAAACAACAGCCTGTTTAAAATCCACTTTGCCTTCTTCTAACTGTGTTAAGTACAAGTACTGAACCAAAGAAGTACAGAACATACAGATAAAAACATTAGTGTTCTCTCAAAGGCAGCATGTAGAAAAGTCCTTTAAAAGCACTTGAATCAGTGCCTCTGCATAATTTTGGGTCTTGCATGTGTTAGAAAGCACCTTGCTACTTATGCACCATTCCAACATTTGAGATTACCTGTAACACTCTTGTAACTGCCTCTGACTTGAACACAGGAGTAAGGCTAGGGAGTGGGAGGTAGGACATTCTCATGATTTGATGGTAGGGCCAGGATTTAGCTTCCCTCATTGATCTGCCCAAACCCAAGTTTGTTGCCCTTCAAGGTTGCAAAGCTTATCAGTATTCAGAATTTTGCTGAAGGGAGGTGATTTGAGTGTATTGAGGAGTTCTTTTTTAAATTAGACATCTGCCAATTTTAGTATTTGCATTTTAAATGATTTGGATAATGGCATAGAGAGTACACTTGTAAAGTTTGCATATGATACCATGCTGGGAGGGATTTCAAGCGCTTTGGAGGACAGAATGAGAATTCAAAATGATCTGGACAAACTGGAGAAATGGTCTGAAATAAAGAGGATGAAATTCAATGAGGACAAATGCAAAGTATTCACTTAGGAAGGAATAATCAATTGCACAAATACAAAATGGAAATGACTTCCTAGGAAGGAGTACTGCAGAAAAGGATCTGGGGCTTATAGTGGATCACAAACAAAATATGAGTCACCAATATAAAACTCTTGCAAAAAACCTGAACATCATTCTGGGATATATTAACAAGAGTGTTGTAAGCAAGACACTTACTTCTCCAGTCAACTCAGAACTGTTAAGGCCTGGAATACTGTGTCCAGTTCTGGGCACCACCGTTTAGGAAAGATGTGGACAAACTGGAGAAAGTCCAAAGGAGAGCAACAAAAAAAGGATTAAAGGTCTACAAAATATGACCTATGAGGAAAGATTGAAAAAATTGGGTTTGTTTAGTCTGGAGAAGAGAAGACTGAGGGGGGACATAACAGTCTTCAAGTGCATAAAAGGCTGTTATAAAGAGGAGGGTGATGATAAATTGTTTTCCCTAACCACTGAGGACAGACAATGGGTAATGGGCTTAAATTGCAACATGAAAGATTTTAGGTTAGACATGAGGAAAAACTTCCTAACTATAAGGGTAGTTAAGCACTGGAACAAAACTACCTAAGGAGATTGTGGAGATTTTAGAGAACAGGTTAGACAAAGACCTGTCAGGGAGGGTCTAGATAATACTTAGACCTGCCTCAGCAGTGCAAGGGACTGGAGTAGGTGACCTAACAAGGTCCCTCTCTGTCTTACATTTCTGTGATTCTATCTGTTGTTTTTTAGCCAATGTACACTTGCCCAGAAGCCTCTACCTAGAACCAGTGCTTAGAAACTATTTTGTGATATGTGCATTACAAACACCTAGATAGATAAATTAATGTGTTTTTGCTAAAGTCCAATCTATAACCATTAGATTCCCCATAATGGGTTAAAATAAGAAAATAAAAGATAATTTGTGTTAATCACCTACCATTTAAAAAAAACACAATGCACTGGATCAGCAAGAAGTTACATAAGCACAGGGTTTGTTGCTTGCTTGAATGTTTCCAATGAACACATACTGTAGTGTTCCATCTGACCCTCTGTTTAGGCTACTATGCATTTATACTGTGTTCATCAAAGGGTATAGTGTCTGAATCCCTCACTTGGGGGAGGGATAGCTCAGTGGTTTGAGCATTGGCCTGCTAAACCCAGGGTTGTGAGTTCAATCCTTGAGGGCGCCACTTAGGGATCTGGGGCAAAAATCTGTCTGGGGATTGGTCCTGCTTTGAGCAGGGGGTTGGACTAGATGACCTCCTGAGGTCCCTTCCAACCCTGAGATTCTATGATTCTATTGTCTGGATTGTAGTGGTCTACTGTTGTGAGGATGGGTACAATAAAGTATGTATACTGGGTGTTAGCTAAATATTTTTTCTCAACCACTATCTATGCATCCTTGTTTATTGATGTGTATTTCTGATGGAGGTCAGGTTGAATTTTTTCTAGAAGCACATTTAAAGAAGGGCCAACTGAGACACAGTTATTCTAACATCTCCTGCAGACCAACAACAATGTAATGAATATGCCAGCCAGTTGTGAAGCCATCTGAGAGGAGTTTGGGGGCAGGCAGAAGCTGTGTTCTGAGGATGTGGCTGTTTTCATTTTTTGATTTATTTCTGGCAGAGCTAATTCATTATTTGCGCATTTTTTTTCCTGCTGGATGGTCGTTATTTGTGATTGTAAGTAATTAATTGTTAGGGCACTTAGTGATTCTTGTGGGGGCCTTTTTAGTGTTCTTTAAATAAATACAAATTAGTTGCAATTCTGATTGGTCTTCATCTTTTTTTTCTTCTGCTATTTGAAGCAGAAAAATATATGGTAATCATGTATTATCATAAACTCTTCTAAGTGTGCTGGGGTTGGATTCAATGTTGTAGCTCTCTCTTTCATTTTCATTTGGCAGCTGAAATGTCTTTCTAGTGCAAGCTTGGGAGTGAACCCAAGGTAGGTTCTGTCATCATAACACAAATCCTTTTTCTGTACATTTATTATTTATACATATTAGGTATTAGGGAGGAGATGTAGGCTCCTCTGCTTTTTACTGGGCAGTAGCTAGTCACGGTGGACTTTTTGGAGGGGTTACAAGTCTACCTGTATTGGCTGTAGATGGAAGGGGGCTCAAGGAGTGACAAAGGCAAGAAGCAGCTTTGGGAATGTCTGATACATTGGTGCACCCTCACACTGCAAATGAGTCATCAGCTTCTCCCAATATCATCCCAAGTTCATACTACTCCTCTCTCCATGCACTTGGCAAGGTTCTTCTTGGTAACTTGTTTGGGAAGATACAGGAAAGAATCCGTTTTCAGATCCCTCTGTATTCAGATTTCACCCATGCGGCTGTCCTTTTAATTCTCCCTGATCCTATATTAACTATGTGAGGAATATAGATGAGATCTTTGGAGGCAGAAGGCAGTGGAAATGTTTGGGGAGTGCAGAGGAAGGATTGGGAATATACAGTCCTGGATTCTTCCAGTGCTCTTTGTCCTGTAAGGTAAATTAAATTGAATAATTTTCAATTTGTAAAAAATAAAAAGGCACCCGCTCCATGAAACGCAGATGGGATTTTAAGGCTCCCAGGCTGTAGCTATGAAATCCAGGACTGGACACTGGGGAAGGGGCAGAGAGGAGATAAGGGATAGCTGAGTGGCTACACCGGGTATCCTATGGGGGAAATCTAGATAGGCAGATATATATGTGGGACGGCGCGGTGGGGACATAGCCCCCCGCTCCAGTCGATGATCACAGGACTCCCTCCCCTGTCACCCTCCCCGCGGCCGCTGGGCTGCTCCGCCTGCGCCCCCGCCCCCTGGGCCGGGTTATGCAAGCGGCTCAGCGCCCGAGAAGCAGCAGCATCTGCAGGGCTCCCGCCCCTGGCCCCGCCCCGCTGCCGGCCGCGCAGGAGGAGGCGGCCCCGGCATAAAGCAAGTTTTGTCCCCGCTGCTGCTACGCCCCGCGAGGAGGCGGCGAGAGCCTGACCCCTGCCCGCGCCATGGCCGCGGCTGCCCCCGGGCCGGAGCGGGGAGGCAGCGCGGCGAGAGCAGCCCAGTAACCCCCCGGCGGCAGCGCCGGCGCCTTCGCGCCGCTTGCCCGGCCGCGTCCGCCCGCTGCTGGCCGGGCCCCGCGGCGCAAGGCGGGGAAGTTCGCGGTGCTGCTGGGCTCGGGGCCCCGGCACCATGTGGGGCAGCAGGATCCTCCCTGAGCTCGGGGACGGCGGCGGCTTGCGCAGCTACAAAGCCGGTAAGGAGCCCGCCCGCACATGCATCCCTGCCTCCCTCTCACCGGGACCCTTCCTCCCCCTGCCCCGCTCCCATCCTGGGCGGCCCCTGCCTAGCGGGAACACCGCACTGCCCGCTGACATCTGGGCACCGCGCTGCGTTTGCAGAGAGCAACCCATACCCCCCGTGCACGTCTCCTTCTCTCCCCACTCCCGGGTTTAAACAGATGGTCTCCGTCCCCCAAGTCTGGCTTTGGGGCAGACCCGGCCCCACAACCAATCGGTTCTGTAGTGCTTCAAAAACAGCTGCAAAAGGATTGGGGGTGGAGAATAATAGTTTTGGGGAGGTGGCAGAAGGTCAGTGCAACTAATTTGTGGTGGTGCGTTTGCAGACAGGCTGCTCTGTGTAGAGGGGCATTTAAGGGAGCCATTTGAGCTGAGGAAATGCAATTAGCTCGGGGCTATATTTAGGGCTGATCATAATTACTTTTAAATCTGCGACTAAAAAAAACCCTCTCCGCACCAGATACCTCACTTGTTTCTCTGAAAAGGGAAAGAGACAAGTTTGGGGTTGGAGGAAGAGTCCTTATTGCACATCTGTACTTCTTTTGCACATGGCAAGAAAAGATCTAGTTTATGAATCTTTAGTTACTGAGTATAATTGAGGCAGCACTGGTACAGTGACTGGAAACATAGTGATACCTCTGGGTCAGTTGTTTTTTCGGTGGTGTAACTTTTAAGGATATATGGTATCTTGGCCAAATTCATCCCTGGTGTAATTCAATTTAAAGTGTTTTAGAATGTAAAAGGATGAGAATTAAGGGAAGGCCAATTTTCTTGAAATCAGTGGGTTTACACCAGAGAAGAAGCTGGCTCATTGTGTTTAGATGTGTTGTATATCTCTATTTGTAATTAATATTGTGATCCCCTTGATTCTTCTTGCACTGATTGCTGAAATGACATTGTGTTGTATCCAGTAAAGTACCCATTTTTTATTATTAATGTGGAACAGTTTGGTCACAGTGCTGGGAACACACTGTATATGGCTGTCGGGCACTTGAAAATACTATCATTCTTTTGCAACATTGGTAGTTATTTTATATCTCTAATTAGCTGGATTTAGGGATATAAATATAAACTGCCCACAGTTGCAGGAGAACTAACTGTTCTGGATTATACAAATGTAGTTTTCAAATACCCCTTTTTTGTGTCATTTGCTATTTAGTTAGCTGGAACATAGAGGTGATGACAAAAGCTGATCTTATCTAAATAATCTGCTTTTCCTTCATTCACCCTAGAGGAAGAAGGACCTAAACAATAGACATCATTGCCTGTATGCATGGTTCTTGTTTCAAATTTGTACTACAACCAACATTTTAGTCAGGTTTTTTTTTAACATTGTTTTGGACCTTTAATTTTAATGTCACTTTCATAACTGTTTCTGGCCTGCATTTGAACTGTGAGTTTCTGCAATTGGCAAGACTTTTTCAGACGGATTAATATTTAGAATTGAATTTTTAGAGATGATTTTGTAGTGTATCGATCTCATGAATAGGACAATTTATGGGAGCAAGGGCTTTCAGGATTGGGCCCTCTGTCTACTGGCAAATAAAATAAATGGACTGACTGCAGAGAGCTTTAGACAGTTTTCTAGAAGGGGGAGCAAAATCATGCAGTTCCTTTTCAAGCAAAGCTCTCATGATTTTGCTCCCTAGTCTAGATTACTACATCATTGTCAAAGTGTAGGGATAAATTCTGCTTTCTTCTACACTGGTGTAATTTGCAAGTAATTTCATTGAAATCAGCCTACTGTGTTAGTTTTGAAATTGAGATGCATAGTTTAATTTTGGAATTGCAGCATTGTTGCAAAACATCTGTCTTTCATTAAATGGTATATAAATAGTTGGCATAGTTAAATGGCAATATTATTTGCTTTTGTGATGACATGTTTTTGCTTGAAAATATAAGATATTTCTAGCAACTGCCTGAACCTCCACAAATAGTCCAATGTGTGCTCACAGTAATGTGAAAGAAGATGCTGTTATTTCTTTATTGGTAGCAAGAATTATTAATCTTTTAAAACTATATATAACATAATTTGCTAAGGCTTAGTTATTTTGTCTGGTTATCTATCTATTCTTTTGATAGGAAAAGTTGTCATATTCTACATAAAATCAAAGGAGAAAACTGCCCAGGGCCTAAATTTTGGAAGAGCTGAGTGCCTGTGGATTCCTTTGGAACTGCAGGAACTTGGCAGCTTTGAGAAAGTGGCCATAATTATTTGAAATCTGGTGGTACAAATAACAGTACTTGGGCAGTGTATAATATCAGTTGTTATGATTACTAAACTTAGGGCCAGATACAAAACCTATTCATGTTAATGGGAGTCTTTGCATTCACTTCAGTGGGCTTTGGATCAGGCCCTTACTGTCTATGAGAACACTGCAGTCTAATCCCAGGATTCAAACTCGGGCTCAATCTTAACCCCGCCCTTCTGTCTATACACAAATCATGCTAACCCAGGGCTCAGTCTCAGGATCCCCTGGGGGTGAAGGGTCTGAGCCTGAGTGAAGCTGGGACCCAGGGTTCAAACCCTATTGCTTTGCAATAGGGATTTGTGCTTTGGGAGTTTGCCAAAAGTATTCCACCATCTCACAGGCTGGATTTTATTGTCCTTTTCCCCGGGACATCCCTTCTACATTAAATTGGTATACTTGGAGGACTGGCCAACTGTTCTTTTTTGGTTCTGAAAAGGGTGGTTTGAGGAAGTATAATCGTTGCTACGTTCACTGGGAGGTCGGTATATTCTGCAGCTGAATATTGTGCCCCAGTGTGGTCTCTCAGCAGTCACACTAAACTCCTTTACACTCAACTCAATAATAGTGTGCACATAGTGTCAGTGATGCTCAAATTGGCTCCAGTTGACTGGCTCCCGGTCCTACGCACATCCAGCCTCCACAGATTAGAAGAGCTGTTCAGACATCTCGCTTTCTTAACCATGTCAATGCAAACGTGAGGATCCCGCTGCACAGTGACCTGCAGAACCTGCCAAAGACCAGATTAAAATCCTGCAACCCTCTATGGAAACGTATCAAGACCCTTACACCCAACTTCGATGCTGAGGCTCAGTGGAGGGTCACATGGAGCATTTCGACTGCTCAAAACAAATAGCTCGTTGTTGATCCTGTTGAGGTACCACCGGATTTTGATTTATGTCCAGAAAGACTGGTGCAGATTGAATTGCATCAGGACATCTCATGGGAGATGTGGACAAATCCTCTTTAAATGGAAAACGAGGCAAACACCTGTATGCGACCGTGGTCACCAGGCACAAACGATGGAGCACGTCATATCTGAGTGTCCCCTTTGTTCTTTTGCCCGGGGCCTGAAGGACATTCACCAGCTCACTGCTGTGGCAATGTGCTGGCTATCAAACTTAGATATAAATTTGTAGTCATTGCTACCTACCCAAACCATACGAAAGAAGAAGAATTTCATTGTCCTCTGAACAGTCAAGTTTTCCCACGCTGCGCCACGAACCAATGGCTAGGGCAGCCTCATTTTGGGAGGGTGCTAGGAAATCTGGGATATGGGTGGTTGGACTCGGGGCTGCATAATGCAGTGTAGATGCTGGAGCCCCAGGTTGGAGACTCAGAGTTCAATAATTCCTAACCTGGGGTTACAAATGAGTGTAAAATGTTCAAGCCCTAGGTTAGCAAACCCAGGGTCTGCTAACTTGAGTTCTACTCACCCTGAGCTTACATTGCATTGTAGACATACCCACTGTGTCTGCACTGGGAAGTCATTTGGGTTAGGCTAAACTTAAACTGAATGTTCTGTTTCTGTGTTTGAATCAACCGTCCAGTATCCCTTAGTCCATGAATGGATGAAGGGTTTACTCATGTTTGTTCAGCAAATCTAGGTTCCGATAATCTTTATCTCAACTGTGTCTGCAGTATTCTATAAATTACTTCACTGTCTGATTTCCATCCTCCTCTCCCCCGCCCCGTAGTGTCATTCTTTTGGAATAATCTGAGTTAAATAAAAAGGGACTTTGGCTCTCTTCTATTATATGAAATGCAATTTTTAAAAGCAAATGTATAGTTTGGCACAACACAGACTTACAGAAGCATGATTAGTTAGAAAATGAACAGAAGATAAAGGTCAAGTGTAACCTTTGAGTTCTGATCTCTTAAAATTTTTTTTCCAACACAGACTGAAGAAACTGCTGCAGTTAAGTGTGTCCATAAATAGTATAGGGTAACAAATGAAAGGAGTGTAGTTAGAGGTGCACAGCCATACTGATTCAAAATTGATGATGAATGCCAATGTACTTTGCTGTTAGCAGATCTGATATTGTTTGTGTTGATACAAGGAATACAACTGAGACTATTGAAACGGCATGGTGTCATAAGATAATGGTCTCTTACTGGTAAACAAAAGCTAAGGCATTATTTTCAAAGCTGGAGATTCTTGTCTTATGACAATGTGCCCCTCTCCCCCCAGTTACATATCTCTCTTGGACCAAGTGATTGGTATAGATTTTTATATCTTTTTGTCTGTTGCACATTGGTGCAATAGAGTTGAAGACTGCAACATTATTGACCAGCTGTTATTGCATTTTGATTGGTTGACACACAATAGGTCTTCACATTAAATTGATCAGAATAGTTCATCCGTGAAAACATAACACTTTGTTAGAAGCATATTCTACATACGTGGAAAAATTATTTTTTAGTCAAGTACGTTGATGGCTAATACCATCCCCTTTTTTTCATGAAAAATCTCATGGTCTACTTAAAAAAAAAAAATTAGATACAGAGTGTGGAAACCTATCACTATTTATTTATATAACTGGATCATGAGATTTTTTTTTTTTTCTGTGAAAGATATAAATTCATTTTAATTTTCTTAAAACACAGTGGGCCAGATCAGTTCCTGGAGTGTACACCAAGGAGTAATTTGGCCCTGTGTGTATTAAATGTTCAGTATAGCATAGATAAGTTATTCTGTTTTCTTTCAT